CAATTATCAAAGGCCCAACCTAATGACAATCCGGAACTCAGTATCTATTATCAACAAACTAGGTGTCATGGGTCCATGTACAAGCCCACGTTTGAATGTTTTTTTTTAGCCTGCAAAAATCAATGATCAGACCCAGTCCAACTAGAATTAGTCCTAAACGCAGCGTTAATACATAAACACAAATTAAGGAGACCTCTCCATCTGATTCGAATCAAATTAGGTCTTCTTCATCTCCTTCCTCAATCCTCTGGGCGAGACGAACACTGCATATCAGGAAACCTTAATTTCACCGAGTGATAGAAGTTTCGAGAAAATGACAATAACGCTAAGACAAGATGACAAAGCACTAGCGACATGAACCCTAGGATTAGCAAATCTCTTTCAAGGGTTCTTTTGCAAACGAAAAGTTTGATGAACACAATAATAGACATGGTCGCCGTAATCGTGTTAGCAAGAGTAAGGCGAGTAATTTTCCGCACGGAAATAAAATGGCGATGAACAAAACGTCGATTTGTGGATAAAAGGATTTGGGGTTCTAAACGATGATTATGTAAGGATTTCATATTGGATGGGGATCTTCTCTTCGAATGTGGATACATAGATTTGGCGTATGAAACATGATGATGTTGGGGATTTGAGATTGGATAGGGAGCTAAATCGAATGTGGATCAAATAATAAAAGGATTTGGGTTTCGAAACGATGATTTTGTTGGAGATTTCAGATTTGATAGGCAGCTTATGATCGAACTTCGAACTTAGAGTTAGAGGGGACCCTCCAAGGCGAATGAGGGATCGTAGAAGGGAGACTGGAAATTGGTTAGGGCGGCGGGTCGTATCCATAGGGTTTAACCTCTTAATCGCTATCATTAAACCGGGTACAGTTAGGTTGAAGTCCGTAGAAGTCACCATAAACGCTTCGTGATGCATTTGGTAATTTTCCTTGCCCCCGGTCACCCGTACCCCTGATTTTGCCCTGGGCACCGTAGAACTCGAATTAACCGTTGATTAAAATCTAGGGTACGACATACCATGAGTAAAAAATGCTATCTAGACCTCGAATTAACCGAATTTTTGGACATGATACTATACTCTAACCCTTGATGATTGAAACCTAGGTCTTAGATTTCTAAATCAAAGAGCCTAATCCCTAAGATTGTGCCTGTAATTTGTTGCATATATTTCGACAAATCATAGCCGTTGATTTTTGTTTCTAATTAAATTGATCTTAGTGTATGAGATTTATAAAACTAAGACCTAGATTTTAATCCTTAAGGGTTTGGGAATAATATCATACGCCAAACTATGCTCAATTCGAGGTCTAGATATCATTTTTTTACTCAAGGTATGTTGTACCCTTGATTTTACCCAAGGTACGATAGAATCACCCATATATATATATATATATATATATAATAAGTACGTGTACAGACAAATACATACAAGGATATACATAAGTGAATTAACCAATAATTATCACCTAGTGGAGTAATTTTCATTTTGGTTTGATGAGATTATTTTGTTAGTAATTACTTACGTGTTTTGCACGCCTATTTAGTTAAATATTATATGAGTATATAACGGTACTAAATTACTATATAGATAGTTTTATACGTTATTATGACTAGATAGAGTCATATAAAAATAATGAAATCATCAATTAAATTGCCTAAAATATGTGTGTTCCACGTGTGGCACACATTTTATACATGTTTAATATGTGGAACATCAAATATAAGAGGTCGTTAAATGTTAATTAATTCATCATATTGTTTGTTAAGTTATTAATTATTTAAACTGAATTGAAAAGTATTGCAAAACAACAATTTCATTGAACATTTATTAAAAATGACTATTTTTGCTTCCAACGCTTAAGCGCGCCAAGGCGAGCAAGGCGCTAGGGACTGCCTCAACGACTGCCTTACGCCTAGCGCTTTCTTGAACCTTGTGCATAAGTGGACTTTAATCTAAATCTAGAGCTTGCCTATCATTCAGCAAGCAAACATCAGTTTGCACACATACTTGCGATGAACAAAAGCATGTAAAATGTGGTACAAAAGCACACAATCAGGTTTAGAATTATACATTGCTGTGAAGTCAAATGTTGTGTCCCTTTTCGCCGCACATTGTGCATGTTATGGCACTTGCACTCTTTGACATTGCTTTGTACTATCTTCCTTGCTTGTCTTTCTTTGTTTTCTCCAATTCCCATGCTTCTTTGCGTCTCTTTGTTTGTCTAGAATCCCTTTTCTTCTCTGGAAATTTCGATGAATGAAGTTTAAGACAATCCTCATGAATCCACTGGTTGGAATCATTGAGAGGGCTGATTGGAAAAGAGTATGACCTCTTGCAAGCCTCGACACTATATCAATCAACCATGTACAATTTTGGCTCGTCCTTGTTCATCTTCATGCAGGCAATTGCATGTTGGCAATGGATGCCACTTAACTGCCACCTACCACACGCGCATGTTCGGTGCCTCAGATCCACCACATACCTTCCTCTGTACGACTCCACCTGGTACTCCATGTTCCCATTGAAGGTTGGGAAGCAAATGGAAGCCCACTGTCTGTACGTGTTTAATTTCATTATAGGCTTAGGACAAACACTGATCCCCAATCTTATATCACTCGCCAACAGTGCTCAACACCTCCATTTGTTGCCAAATGTTCAACCAAATAGGTTGCACTAGCAGCTCTATAGAAGAGATCCCGCAGCCTCTTCGACCTGCTAAACTTCCCACTGAAGTTGACAAACATATGTCTTACACAGTATCGATGCTCAACATTAGTGTACATGGAGTTCATCACATACATAAGACCCTACAAGGATAATATAGTAGAAAGTAAGAAACAACCATGTTCTAATCAGACCCTACTAATTATACTAATTCATAGAATGTGCAAAATGCATTAGAACCTACTAATTTGCATCAGACCCTACTGAAGTGCATCAAATCCTAATTAATTCAACTAATTCATGGTATGTGCAAAATTCATTGTAAACCCCATAATAGATAAGATAAAAAATAATTACCTTTTGTCGGTCAGACATGAAAGTCCAGTCTGATGATTGGTCTATGTCCAAGTCTTCTCCCAAATGTGCCATGAATCATTACCATGTGTTGTGGCACTCCTTCTAGACTATTTCCCATGCAACTGGGTACATAAAGTCATCCCCATCGATCCCCACAGCCGAAAGAAGCTACCATCGGGGCATAGCTTTTAGAAAACAACCATCCACCCCGACCAGCTTCCGACAACCAGCTTTGAACCCTTATTTTAGTGGCCCCAGACAGATTTAGATGCTCTCAAATGTTAGTTGCCTATGCTCAATCACCACTGATGTACCAGGATTCCTAACTTCCAACTCCTTCTTATATGCATACAACTTTGCAAACTGGAGGCTGTCTTCACCATGAACCACTTTCAGAGCCAGCTGTTTGGTTCTGTAAGCCTCCATCCGATTAATCTTCAAGCTTAAATCACTCATGACTGTATTGACGGGATTAGGTATTTACCACGAAGGATCTACCTTAAACCTGGTCAGGTACTTCTTCACAAGAAAAGAGGGTGCAGCAGCCCTTAGGTCTTCACCAACACCACAAGTATGCTCAAGATTGTCCGTCCTAATTTGCACAGTATCACAATCCTTCACCTTTTTAGCATACATTTTGAACTCACATTCGTGTTGGCACACACAAATCACGCGCTTCTTGTCATTAGTTGAAACCTCACATCCCTTCTTTGAGTCACAGCATGTGACTTGCAAGCGTCCTTGAACTCATCAAATGATGCAAATAGCTGGCCGATCTTGATCTCAGGGACCTCCATATCCCTTTCAGCCCGAAACACTGGGAAGATAGTGTCTATATTAAAAAATCTTCGTCTTCTTCGCTGCCCCAGCCAGTCTTCTTCAACAACTCAGCCTCACTTGCATACTCATCCTCCCTCTCTAGTACATCCTCATCTACAACAACTTCATTAACGGTAGGTGCAGGTGGAGGCCCTCCATGACTTGACCCTGTGGATTCCCTGGTCTGTCTCCCTCCTCTTTGTAACCTTCGTCGTCCTATTTGAACGGACCCAAAAGACAACTTGATTACTTCCTCCTCCCTTCTCCCACTATGAACCATGTGCGCTGTATCCGGGTTGCCACAAGAGGAATCAATGTGTTTGACAAAGATTTGGATAATTTTGTCAACAGAAAAATAACATCCCATCTCTAATACGTCACTGTCATTTTCCAACAGTTTCAATCCATTGTGAAAATCGATTCCAGGCATCCTCCAAAAAAACAGCACAGGCTGCTCCACCTCAACTATTTTTGCCATCTCCTTCACTTCAATCATTGACAATTTATCAACATCGACATAGTCAATGTAATCCACTTTGCCAATACTGTACCCCATCTCACCTAGCTGACTGTACCCATTGGACGGATTTTTGGATGGAATTGGACGAATTGGCCGATTTGGTATTCGTCCAAACATGTTTCACTGAATGCAAATTCGAAGTTAGATACAGTTTTGTACAAAGTAAATAGTTGTGTTACCATTTATGCTAATTACCATAGTTTATACATTTTTTTTCTTTTAGGTTGATGATCACAAAATAATAGTGGGTCTAGTCTGCAAGTCGGCCCAAATTACTTATCTGATCTGTTTCGAAATAGTTCCCGAAGGAAGGCCCAACTACTTCTTTTCTTGGGCTTTTAACAAAGGGGGTTTTATTATTTGATTTACCACGAGGCCTCCAAATTAAAAATGGACCGAAATGTCCAGCCCACTAAAATGTCCACAAGCCAATATAGACCAACACCAACAGCACGGACTTCAGACAGATCTTCTATTCATCTTGTCTGCATGCGATCCGCTGCAGCCGCCCACAGTATCTTATCGTGAATGCCATCCGATTCGTCCACGTGGGCACTAGGTTTTTTTTTTTTTAATTTTTATAACGGGCGCTAGGGTTTTGAGTATCTAGTAATTCCTATTTCCTAATCAGTAATCCCCTTGAGACTCGTCCGCCTCCTCGAACTGCCCAACAGAAGAAGAAGACCTCCGTCCTCCGCCGTCTCCCTCGTCGAGACATCATCCTCCACCGTCTTCCATTCAAGTGACCACCGACGTTCGTTGCATACTCCTTCCTGTTCAACTCCCCAAATTTCGGGACTCCAATGTGAACAAAACCCTCAGTCAAGGTAGGGGAACACTATCAAGGAGCTACGGAAGGATTGCGACGGTCTGCTTCTCTCGTCGTGCCCTTCACCCGCCGGTCATAAATCGCAGGTGGGGTTTCTTTCTTCTTCAGTTACTTTTTGACTTAATTGAATTTCGATTCGTCCGATTGGTTTCCTCTATCTGGGGTTCTTCGTCGATGGATCGCTCTTCGTTGCTTTGATTTGGTCTTAATTTGCGCTCTATGTGTGATGGGGAATCCTTTCCCGAATTCTGCCTTCAGTTCTTGCACACGTTGGTATTCTCAAGTTGGCTAACTTGGCTGATTCCTTTCTGCAGTATTCGTAAATTCTGTGAAATGGCGGCGGAGAGTGGGAAAAGCTTGAAAAGGAGGGATCACCTCTTGGAGATCGAGGCAAAGGCTAGAAGTTGGTGGAATGAGGTAGACGTTTTCAGAGCCGAGCCATGTGAAAAACCTCCCAAGCCCGGGGAGAAATTCTTTGGCAATTTTCCATTTCCCTACATGAATGGTTATTTGCACCTTGGCCATGCTTTCTCTCTTTCGAAGCTGGAGTTTGCTGCCGCTTATCATAGGTTGAGGGGTGCCAATGTGCTTCTTCCGTTTGCTTTCCACTGCACCGGCATGCCCATTAAGGCATCTGCTGATAAGCTTCGCCGTGAAATTCAACAATTCGGTAACCCTCCTGTGTTCCCTGGACCAGCCGCTGAGCCAGAAGAACCAAAAAAACCAGAGCAAGGGGATGAAAATGTATCTGGCCAACCTGATAAATTTAAGGGCAAAAAGTCCAAGGCAGCATCTAAAGCCGGTGGGCAAGTGTTCCAATGGGAGATCATGCGTAGTTTTGGGCTAACTGATGAAGAGATTTCAAAGTTTCAGGATCCATATGAGTGGTTAAGGTTCTTCCCGCCATTGGCTATGGAGGATCTCAAGGCTTTTGGCTTGGGTTGTGATTGGAGGCGCTCCTTCGTTACGACAGATATAAATCCCTACTTCGACTCTTTTGTGCAGTGGCAGATGAGGAAGCTCTATGCTATGGGTAAGATTGTGAAGGACGTTAGATACACAATTTACTCTCCTTTAGATGGCCAGCCTTGTGCAGATCACGACAGGGCATCTGGTGAGGGAGTTCTTCCCCAAGAGTATACCCTCATCAAGATGGAAGTCTTAAAGCCTTTTCCTATGAAGTTGGGACCTTTGGAGGGGAAAAACGTTTTCCTAGCTGCTGCTACTCTGAGGCCAGAGACTATGTATGGGCAAACGAATGCCTGGGTGTTGCCGGATGGTGAATATGGAGCTTTTGAAATTAATGAAACTGATGTGTTTGTCATCACAGCTCGGGCGGCCCTTAACCTAGCATATCAGAACTTCTCTAGAATCCCTCAGAAGCCTACTTGCTTGATGGAGCTGACTGGTTATGACCTGATTGGCCTTCCTTTGAGGTCTCCTCTTTCGGGCAATGAAGTCATATACGCTCTTCCTATGTTGACCATCCTAACAGACAAAGGCACCGGGATCGTCACCAGTGTGCCTAGTGATGCCCCTGATGACTATATGGCTTTGCATGATCTCAAAGCAAAACCTGCTTTCAGGGCCAAATATGGGGTCAAGGATGAGTGGATAATGCCCTTTGAAATTCTGCCAATAATTAACATTCCAGAGTTTGGGGATAAGGCGGCTGAAAAGGTCTGCATTGATCTGAAAATTAAGAGCCAGAACGAGAAGGAGAAGCTCGCTGAAGCTAAACGGCTCACGTACCTCAGAGGGTTTACTGAGGGAACAATGCTTGTTGGAGAATATGCCGGGATGAAAGTCCAAGAAGCAAAACCATTGCTTCGAACCAAACTTATTGAGACGGGCCAAGGAATTTTGTATAGTGAGCCTGAAAAGCGAGTCATGTCAAGATCGGGTGATGAATGCGTTGTGGCACTTACTGATCAATGGTACATAACATATGGAGAAGCAGAATGGAAGAAACTGGCCGAGGAATGCCTGAGCAGTATGAACCTCTATTCTGATGAGACACGCCATGGGTTTGAGCACACTTTGAGCTGGCTGAATCAGTGGGCGTGCTCACGATCATTTGGTCTTGGGACTCGCATTCCGTGGGACAAGGAATTTCTCGTTGAGTCCTTGTCTGACTCCACCATTTACATGGCCTACTATACTGTTTCACACTTCCTGCATAACGAAGACATGTATGGTACAAACAAGCATCCAATTCAACCTTCGCAAATGACTGATGAAGTTTGGGAGTTCATCCTCTGTGGTGGTCCATACCCCAAATCCTCTGGTATACCAGCAGCAGTACTTGATAAGATGAAGATGGAATTTGACTACTGGTATCCGTTTGACTTGCGAGTCTCAGGCAAGGACCTTATCCAGAACCACTTGACCTTCTCCATATACAACCATGTAGCAATCATGGATAAGAAGCACTGGCCACGTGGATTCAGGTGCAATGGACATATTATGCTCAACTCTGAGAAGATGTCCAAGTCAACTGGCAATTTCAGAACGTTGAAACAGGCGATTGAGGAATTCTCAGCTGATGCAACGAGATTCTCGCTGGCTGATGCTGGAGATGGTGTTGATGATGCTAATTTCGTATTTGAAACCGCCAATTCGGCAATCCTCCGCCTTACCAAGGAGATTGCGTGGATGGAAGAAGTTCTGGCTGAATCATCCTCTCTCAGGGCAGGCCCTCCATCAACTTATGCTGATCGTGTGTTTGAGAATGAGATAAACATTGCGGTCAAGATGACGGAAGAGAGTTACAGTAATTGCATGTTCAGAGAGGCATTGAAGACCGGATTCTATGATCTGCAAACTGCAAGAGATGAGTACAGATTCTCATGTGGCAGTGGAGGGATGAACCATGACCTGGTTTTCCGATTTATGGATGTGCAGACTCGCCTCATTACTCCAATTTGTCCACACTATGCTGAATATGTACGGAGGGAGCTTCTAAAGAAGGACGGGTTGGCAGTGAAAGCCGGTTGGCCCACTGCAGGTTCTCCTGATCTGAAGTTGAAGGCAGCCAACAAGTACCTGCAGGACTCCATTGTTCTGATGAGGAAGTTGCTCCAGAAGCAACTTTCTGGTCCAAAGAAAGGAAACAAGAAAGATGCAGCACCGGTTACAGCTGCCTCGACTGAGAACAAATTAACAGGGTTAATTTATGTCAACGAAAAGTTTGATGAGCGGAAATCGGAATGTTTGAGGATACTCCAAAGCAAGTTTGATTGCAATACTCGAACTTTTGCACCCGATGGCGAGATATTGCAGGCATTGCAGGCAAGCCCACTTTTCCAGGGTTCGAACTTCAAGCAGTTCCAGAAGCAGTACATGCCATTTGTGAGGTTCAAGAAGGACGAAGCCGTTGCAATAGGGGTTCAGGCCTTGGATGTGAGGCTACCTTTTGGAGAGATTGAAGTTCTGAAGGAGAACCTGGAGCTGATCAAGAGACAGCTGGGTCTTGAAGTTGTTGAAATTTTATCAGCCTCAGATCCTAACGACAAGGCTAGAGCTGGCTCCCTTGCCTCTCTCTTGGACCAGAATGCGCCCTCTCCTGGAAGCCCCACGGCCATCTTCTTGACCAGGTCAAAAGAAGCACAACCCCCCATTCAAATTGAATAACGGCAGCTACCTTTTGCTTTTCTTCTTCTTTTTTAATTGCACTTATGGAACTTGAAGTAGTGCTTACTGCTGAGTCTCTTGTCTTCCATATATAGGTAGGTAACAAACTAGCAGAGAGCCGGACGTGGAACAAAGTGATTGCTAGGGCAATGCCGGAAAGAAATACGAGTAAATGCGTGGGAAGAGCTGACGATAGTTTCGATTTCGATCTGTTTTTGAATTTTTTGCTGCTGTTTTGTTCTGAACCTGTACTTTCTTCAACTGTTAACTCATGTTATGCCGTTTCCCCGACTTGTAGTGCAGTGAAATTTCATCTGTGTTGTGCTGCTGCTGGGCTTGTTTGATGATGAAATTTCGTTGATGCATTTTTGTTCAGTCTTCTTTTCCCTTAATGATTAAGAGGTTTCATGGAAATGGAATGTCATCATATTACGTTTGAGCTAGCTTCGGTCCAACATTATAGTCTACTGCTTTGGTTATTACTATGTGAAAAATTTATACTTGCTGACACTGTTAGATCGGCCGATTAGGTTTGTCAATTTTTCATATGACACTGACACTGAATTTCTTAATTGTACCTTGCGACTTAGCTCTCACGTAAAAAGCCTAAAATTTTCTGAAGAGGACTAGTCATTACTATCTTGCTTGCTAAGTTGAGACGACTCTTCGTCTAGGAAGTGGACTCTTGATGTAACTTGGTTTGCTAATTAATCAGCGATCTAGGAGCTGTGGTTCGTTTCATTCTGAGCAGGGAGGTTTCTGGCGGCAACGGTACCATTGAGCAATCATATGCTCGAAGAAAACTTGAGCAGGATGTCACCAAATTCTTACTTGTCCGGCAACAACAAGAACGCCCGCCATATCCTCCGACGGTGGAGCAACCTGAAACTCTCGGTCGCTGTCTCCCTTGGAATCAGCCTCTGCTGCCTTCTCGTTTACTGCTCCCTCTGCTCTTCCCCTTTCTCGACGACGACGAAGCTCCTATTGTCGCCGGTGAGCTCCCTTCCGCCATTTCTTATTTTCAGGGGCAACCCATCCGCGACCAAACTGGTTTATTCCAAATCATCATGAAAACGCAGGAGGAAGACCCAGAGCTGGTCAGAGTACTGAGGAGCACAGCATTTGCGACGGCGGGTAGGCGATCAAAATCGACGGTGATCCTGACCATGATAAACAAAGCGTGGGTGGAGCGAGGGTCGATTGTGGACGTTTTTCTGGAAGGGTTTTCGGTCGGCGACGGGACGCAGGAACTGGTGAAGCATTTGGTGATCGTGGCACTGGACCAGAAGGCCTACGAGCGGTGCCAGGAAATCCACCCGCACTGTTACGCGCTGACTACGCCGGGAGTGAATTTCACAGGCGACGCCACATTCATGACCCAAGAGTACTTGCTAGTCGTGTGGCGCCGCATCGACTTCTTAGGCTCTGTTTTGCGCCTGGGATACAACTTCGTCTCCACGGTAAATTCATGTTATGGATTTATTCTTCTCCCCTCCTGTTTTTCCCCCCTTTACTTTCTGCATACCGTGAATGGTGATGACTGATGAGTAGAGTCGTCTGATCTCTTGACCCGATTGCTTGACCCACTTATTTAGATATATTAATTCAGTTGGACTCAATTACTCCATAAGATTTGTTTAAATTGGTTCGATTGAGTCGATGATTTTTAGTTGATTTGATTTTGAGCCAAACCAGAAGCGGCAGTATGGTCAACAAATACCTTTGGGCGGGTATATGAATGTGAAGGGAAGACATGGGAATTGGGAAGTGGAAAGAGATGATCACACAGAACAGAAGGGTTTTAGGTAACCAATTCATATGGAGCTGGAGCGAGAGCGGGAGCGAGAACGGGAGCGAGAGCGTCAATTTTAGAAGATAATGGATCCCGAAAATCACATTTCCTTCTCCCTTCCGCTTTCTTCTCCCACCAGCAGAGCAAGTGCGCAATAATGGTGACATGCAATCTGAAATTTCTCGGATCCCTTCGTATTAAAGAATTATAATTATTGGGTTAAGAATGATGTGTTATCTGTAAGTGTTTTTTTTAGAAGGGTGACATAGAGTTGTTTTATAATTAGGTGTTATTTAATTAAGAAATTCGAATTAGAGATATTGAGATTCAACTAGACCAATCTTTTATTCGCATTGCAACGACAAGTGTTGAGGAGAGAGCTTTTTACTGCTTTGAGTTATACATCAAGAACAAGGTTCGAAATAGAATAGGCAACGAGTTTATAAATGATTGTCTAGTAGAATATAGTGAAAGATATTTGTCGAGTTTCGGTGAGTTTTTGTTGTTGTAACTTGTACTAGTCGCGGAAGCTAAAATTTAATTGTACCGAAGGATTTATATAGAGTACTAACATGCATGCTATGTGTTGCGCAGGATGCAGATATAGTGTGGTTTCGAAACCCATTCCCGCGGTTCCACGAGGACGCCGACTTCCAAGTGTCGTGCGACATGCACCTAGGCGACGACTCCAACCGCGACAACCTTCCCAACACGGGCTTCACCTTCGTCAGATCCAACCCCAGGACGGTCCGCTTCTACCAACACTGGTACCGCTCGAAAGACAGGTTCCCCGGCGAGCACGACCAAGACGTCTTCAACCGGATCAAGTTCGACGACGACGACGCCGCCATCGGCGGGTTGAAGATGAGGTTCCTCGACACCGCCTACTTCGGCGGCTTCTGCGAGCCGGTCAAGGACCTCAACGTCGCCTGCACCATGCATGCTAACTGCTGCGTCGGGCTGGACACCAAGGTGCACGACCTCAGAAACTTGCTCCGGGACTGGAAGCGTTTCTCGGCGTTGCCTCCTGAATCGAGAAACGGGGTTTCGTTTGATTGGACCGGGTATTCTCCACCCTTCAGGTGCAGGTAATATTATTTTTACATATATCTGACTAGTTTGTTGTGTGAAGTTTTATGTCAATTGGCCGAGTAAGTTGTGCCTTTAAGATCCTTTCCTCTATCACAATTTTGCCAGGGCTTGATCATGAATTGGGAGCTGCGGAGGAGCAAATTAAGAATGACAGAAAGTACGTACTGTAGCGGTTAACTGGAAGGAAACCGATTCACTTGAGTTCTTAATTAATCTCACTGGCTATACATGAGCTCTCTGGACAAGTTACAACTACTTACAGTTATTAAATAGGAGTGTTTGAGCTTTGAATTCAACCAAAATGAGGACCATCGGGTCATCAATTCTCTACATAAATAAAGTAGGTTTTTTGGCCATATATATTTCATCCATATATTTAGTCAATATGCATACCTTGTCTATATATATTTCATCCATATCGTACCCATTATACGTTCGAACTTCGAAAACTTGTTGATGAGTTCAACAAAAATGAGGAACAAGATTCCCACAATCACACAGTGAAAGAACACGGATCTAGGTGTGCAATTTAGGGTTTGCGATTGATAAGAGAATTAGGGATTTGGATGAGAAAGAATTGGGAATTGGTTGAGAGAGAAGTAGAGGCCGGTTCCCGGGAGAGTAATGGCCGACAACTAGGGATGAAGAGAGGTTTCGGCTAGGTGAGAGAGAGAAGTAATTGTAGAGAATAATTCTTATGTTATTGCTTACCCTCCAATCTCTCCTAAAACAGAATATATAATCCGACTAATTCCCTATACCTACCCAAATAATTAACTTGACCGAATAAACCCCAATAGTTCCCAAATATCCACCATAACATCTAATATCCCGAATAATAATTAACGACAAATAAACCCCAAAATAATGAGTTTCTGACATTCCATCCGCCTTGAAACCAACCTTGTCCTCAAGATTGGACTTCTTTCTTCTCTTCCTTCTTCGCCTATGCCTCGTCTATCTCCATTTCCTCGCTCTCGTCTTCCCAGTTTCCTACCAGCAGCATCAGGTGCCCTTTAGCGCATTGGTGTCCCACCGTGTAACTTTCGTCTCAATTGAAGCTGCGCCCATCCCTACGCTTCTGCTCCATCTCCGCCTGAGTCGGTCTGACGAATCCCTTGGGTGGTAGTCTAGCAGGAATCCTACTGCCTTGATTGACACCAGTATCCACCGGTTTGCAGCTTTCGATGGTGACGAAGATGCTATGGTGCCTTGGCCTGGGTTGGCGCCTGCTCCGCCACTCGCCTTCTAGAATCTCCCCGCCGAGGAACTCCAGCTGGCTAGCTCCTCCTCCTTGCGACTAGCTAGACTAAAAGCAACTCGAAGAGAATCAGGTTCAAAGACCTTAACTGTCGCCACCAATTCAGGTCGCAGTCCTGCCATGCACAGCCTCACCAGTGTCTCTTCTGTCATCTCTTGGCACTGGTTCCCTAACTTGAGAAACTCTACACGATACTCCGTCACTAACCAATCTGCTTCAAATTGGCCAGCTGCTTTAGCGCCCAACCCTCAGCTCTGCCAAACCAGTACCACAGCTCATCTTGGAACCTGGCCCATGAAATATTCTCCCATGCCGCTACATAGGCCCTCTCGGTCCATTCCCACCACTGGAGGACATCCCTCTATAAGTAGAAGGACGCTAGATCCGCCTTCATCTCCTTTCTGATCGAGTGATTCTTGAACCACCTCTCCGCCGCATACAACCATAGTCCCACGTAACCATGAACATTAAATTTAGGGAACTCTATGACCAGAGGTTTGGCTCTAAATACCAGTTCATCATCATAATCACAAGGGGTTACGGTGTCCATATCTGCTTAAGTCTGTCGGCGATTGCCGGCGCCCAGGTCCGCTGTGATGGTATTCAGGCGCGGTCCACTGCTGTTGAGAATAGTGCCAGTCGCTCAAGTTTATCTTGTAGTCCTCGTCGTGCCCGGGTTTAGTCTCGGACCCTTGTCCCACTTCCAAGCCTTGGTGGCCTCATCCCCCGTCCTCCCGAGGAGTTCCCTACGAGGGGTACCCTGAATCTAGCCCTCGCTGGAGAACCCAGCACCTCCAGAAGCCGCGCCCCAGCTGCTGCCCGTCGACTGTCCGACCGGTTTGGTTCAGACCGGTTTGACCCTGATTCGGGTCCGCGATCCACCCTCGTCCAGGCCCTGCGGGCCCAGAGTCCACCCACCAGCCCTCCTGGCCCGCGAAACTCAACTCATCTCCTTTCTTTCCTGGGCCTAGTTCGTTGAATCTTGGCCATCCTGCATCCACATCCACTCTCTTCGTGGCTCAGTCGACCACGGCTCCCCAATGTACTCGGCCAGTTTCTTCTTCCTTCGCGCCTTATAGAACTCTTGGGCCATAGGGGATCCCAGCAAACTCGGCCCGCTAAACACCGGTCCCGGCACGACCATCGCGCGGTAGGGCTCCTTGGCGCTGCGCTACCGCCCGCCGAGGCCTCAGTCTCGAGCCCCGCGGCCTCCTTCCCCGTCTTCACCGCCGGAAACGTCTAGTTTCCCTGCGCCTGCCGGCAACGCCGCCAGCAGCATTGGGGCTGATGGTTGTTCGCAATTCCTCAAAACCTGGGTCAACACTTCCTTCATCGTTTTCGCGAGGGCCGAGCATATGTTTTCGGCCACACTCTTGCCCATCTCCTCGATCGAGGTCCTGATCTAGCCGTCCATGGGGCCGATTGAGCCCTTCGACGTTGCGGCCGCCCTCTCAGTAGCCCCGGTAAGGCTTTCCAACGATGCGGCAATTGCATCTTACTTGTTTGTAGTCACATACTTAACTGTCATGACCTCCTTGCCCGGTCGCTGTTGCTGCGGTTTATCTGTTGGATTCGTCATTGTCAGGAGATCGGCACACCAACCATGCTCTGATACCACTGAAAGAACACGGATCTAGGTGTGTGATTGGTAAGAGAATTAGGGATTTGGATGAGAAAGAATTGGGAATTGGGTGAGAGAGAAACAGAGGTCAGTTCCCGGGAGAGGGATGGCCGACGGCTAGGGATGAGAAGGAGAGGTTTCGACTAGGGGTCGTTTGGATGAGGAATTGTAATGGATCAATTTGACACAATTGTCTCGTTTGACAGCGAAAAATTGGGATGAATCAATTTGTCTAAGGTATTTTGAATTGATCCGTTTTGACTTTTGAGTCAATTTCAATTGTCTAGAGTGGGGGCAGATAATTCGAATTGACTCATTTTAATTGCTGCGTTTATAAAACGTATCTCATTTCTAAATTTATCCATCCAAACGAACACTTATTATCTCAAGAATGCAGCAAGTGCAACAAAACGAAAACTCTGACAGCAGTCACATGGGCACAGCACAAGCATATATTAATAGTTAGTAGTACTACTGTCAGGCTCCCAAGAAACTGTTCCTCTTGTTTCCTTGTTATCTTTCCAGTGCTTCACAAGTCACAAGTAGATGGTGATTGAGGACAGAAAACTTGTACAGAAAACAACACAAGCATATAAACATTATCACATCAACTTACGTACATAGTACAAAGTCATTAACAACCCTGATCCCCAGGTTAGTTACACAAACAATACCAAATTCCAGTAGCTTTAAATCAATCACAGTCTACCGTGCAGGCATTCATGTTCAGCTAACAACACAACATACCTAAGCAGCCTAGTTACAGGAGACAGTTCATGATTGTGCTCAGTTTATTACAAGTACAGAAAAGCTGGGAGTGAAGTCAATTAAGAAAACATGGACTTGGAAGAGGATGACAGAAGAGAGAGAGCAATTTCTTTTTAATTTCCTCCTTGAAGCTAGCCAGATAGAGATGAAGATATGGAGGGAAATGGTTGTCTTTTCATCTGATCTGGAAATGCTTGTACGTGGGATTCTCCTGGATTGTGGCGATCTTGATCCGTGCCCTGCTGCTGCTGCTGCTGTGATCACCAACTTGGCCACACATAATGTCCTGCAACTGCCCTTCCACCACCACTCCTCTCCTGCTTGATCCTTCTTCTGCTGCTGCTGAGGCATGGTGATGGGGTTCAGCTGCATTCTTCCTTCTTCGCTCGTTGTGCCCAGCCAAGCGCCTCCTGCAGCTCCTTTTCATGTCGTCGAACTCTGATAGCTCGTGGAATCTGCGATTGCAAAGTTAGAAACTTTCAGATTGGTATAGCTGAACAAGGATGTATGTATCAAATTGTGCTCATGATGAACACACAAGTGAATGAGCTTGTTCTTGACGTAGTATTAGAACTTTTTCATTGAGATGTATGGTGTTTAGTCCACCAGTGTCAAAAATTGAAAATGAACTAATCCTCGGAGAATTTAAATCAATATAAGATGAAACATTAACGTTTCATTTAAACACAGCGAGTTCGATGGATGGGTCCAAACATCAGTACCCACTATATTTTAAACATGGAGGAGGGAGTGAAAGAAGGGTTTTGTGGAGGCATGAACCCATGAACTTAACATGCTAACCAAGGTAAAGCTCTAATCATATAATAGCAGAGTACATATAGAAAAAAACAGGAGTATCATTATTTTAAATTGCATTCTGTCTGCCTAGAAACAGTTTTCTTCTTAAACAAATATTTTATGTTCAAGTGTTTGTGTCTCCCACTAATTGTATCACCAACTTTGTCCCTTTTAGCAGCTTAACAAACTCCATGTTGAAGGGTTTTCAAAGCAGACCCACTTTTTGTTTTGGTTAGTTGCTCCAACGGCCACCACCCAAATCCAACAACAGAGTCCAGACATTTGAGAATCAGAACTTTCTACACAGAACCAGCAGCGACCCATGAAAAGATCAGCACTTTCAAGAAAAATTACTCAAGGAAAGGGTCGTCTCGTGACAAGACAGCTTCAAAACATGAAGATTATTAAAATAAAATAAAAATCACCTGCTGCATTGCTGGCAAAACCTCTGCCTCATTCCAGCAACAAGCACAACCTGAGCTTTGGAGTGATACTCACACACCTTATGCCTCCTGTGGTACGGCTTTGCATCACCAAGATCAGTCGTACAGTTCTCAGCCTGGCAGCACCTCATCCCACCACCGCCGCCGCCGCCGCCGCCGCTAGGCGCCTTTCTTCCTCCCCGGCAGCTGGCAGAGGCAGAGATGACCAGTTTCGTTTTCTTGCTAGCTTCAGAATCATGTTCCAGATAGTAACCCACATGCTGATACTCACCATCATCGTCAGACGACTCGACATCGCCGGTCAATTCCTTCTTCACCGACCTCCCAAGAACCAGCCTCTGCTTCCCTTTCCCTTCCATAACTTTGTAATGTCCTTTTAAGCAGTGAGGTGGGAAAAGGGTGGGCTAAAGATGGAGACTTTGGTACAATTAAAGAGGTGGGTAAGGAGTGAGATTGTGTGAAAATGAGAAAGGGGAAGAAAGATACTTTGTGGTGGGGAAAATGATGGGGAGCCAAAAGGCGAAAGGCAGGCAGACACGGTGAAAAATTAAGAGCTGAAGGAGAAGGAGAAGAAGGCAGAATAAACGAGACAGGGAAATAAGAGGACCACAGTAGCTACGCTGTTCTTCCTCCATGGTTTTATTACCTGACAAGGGGAGTAGGGGCCTGATCTTTTGTTTTGTTGTAAGCATGCGAAAAGAGTACCTAGCGATCAAAGCTTGTGGTGAAGGCCAAAACCCCATTGACCCCAGAAGAAACCTAAAAGGGAAAAGTGAAAAAGAAGCAAGTTAAAATGAGAACAGAGCCAGGAAGAATTTAGAGGCAGAGGCAGGGAGAGACATTCATGGTGATGAGGTAAACATGGGTTATCTTTTGTAAGTGCATCTGGCGCAAAAGTGTTTCATAATCAATCGGGATTCAAAATTTTCAATAATATTGTCTATAGCCAATTATTATTGTTATTAGTTATATTAATTGGCGAGTTTGCTCAAACGGGTCTAGTGAAATGTGGGAAGGCGCATTATACACCTTTTTATGATTTATTATACGTGGAATATGATTTATCATACTACGAGAATCTAGACTTACCCTACTTCAGGTTTAGGATTCATTATCTAGTCAATCCTAGGATAGTGATTAATAAAACTAAGCTAACTAGCCTAGACTAACCACTAACCTAGCTATTTACAAGGTTTGGAGCTCTCTTGGGTTAAATCCCCATATTTCCGACCTTTGGATCGATGTTGAGTATCCTCCTAGTTCGATCGACTCAAATACTCTACCGTTTGGAGAAGGACTCCCTCAGGAATGACCCGAAACGGCAAATCGGTGGATGGGTAGGTGCTCTATTCAATCTAGGGTTTCGTATATTGCTAGGATACCGGTCAAATCAACTCCCTCGGGGACTACCGGGACAATATACGATAGGAGTGACCCGAAGACGCCAAAAGGGGGCACTAAGGGGATTATCTCTCTCCTAAAGCTTTAGACATGAAAATGGAAACCCGCCCCAAGCCATTCATGTGAACATCCATCAATCAAGTAGAATCATCAATTAAACAAGGAATTTGTCACATACATCAACAACAAACCAAAATCAAGACCTAGGGTTCTTAAACCCAAGAGGAGAGGGTGAGTTTCTAGAAAGAGAGAGAGAGAGAGGAGAGATTACAAAGAAACTTCTAGATCTTCTTCTTCTTCTAGGCTTGATTCCTTGCTTCCAAACTTGATCAATGCCTTCAATTAAGCTCCAAGATCACTCTTTCTCTCACTAGAACTCCCCTTTGGTGTTTTGGGTTGAACCCTAGAGAAAGAAAGTGTTCCTTCTCCAAAAACCAGCTCCCCTTTCTCTCTTCCTTTCAGCTCACGTTATATACTGGGATCGGGCTCAGCTCACGGCTTCAGTTCACGGTCTTGAACTCTCCAACGTGTCCGTGAACTCGGAGTGTTGTGTCGAAACGCACCGCTTCACTAACTTGAGTTCACGGTTTGCACTCAAAGTTCACGGTCTTGGTGACCGTGAACTCACTCGGCATCAGTAACCTCTGAAATTGCTCTGGACGCCTTGTGGTTCACGGTTTATGGCTCTAGTTCACGGCCCTAGTAGACCGTGAACTCCAATGGGAAACCGTGAACCTGGCCTGAATCACCCTCTTTGCCCGGTTTTTGCTCCTTTCCTTCCAACTTCCGACTCTGGGGCTGGTTTCACCTGTTAAATCCTAAAACACACTAAAACGCACAAAACCAAGCATAAAACCACCCTTTTAGGAGCACAATTGCTACAAACACCCAAGAAAAACAGGGATAAAATGTGTGCATCCCATGCGAGTCCAATGCGGGTAAGGTAACCTAATATATATATAGTTTCTTCTATACCGTGCATCCCATGCGAGTCCAAATTCCATTATGAGGAGATGAAGCTCGCTTGGCTCAAGAGAAAAATGAGTTACAATGAAGGTCTTTAAAATATGGATCTTCAAATTGTTTACTAGCATTTTTTTCTGAATTTATTTTTTTAGCTTTGTTTTATTGGTTGGATAATAATTTTGTCACTTGTTTTTTTTTAGAAGATTTAATTTCAATAAATATTGTTTCTTCTGAAAATTAATAACGGTGTCGTTGGGAACTTTTAATTCAATTCTGAATGTATGTCAGACATAGTTTGGGAACTAAATTGATTTTATTTCTAAAAATTTGAATATGACATACCAAAAACAGGAATTCATTTGACAATGAATTCTACACAGGGACCCTATGGGTGGCGTGGATGCATGAGTATAAGTGCAGGAATCTGGACTTGTGGTCAGTAAAGGTGCAGTTTAGCAGCTCGTGGGCCTGGAGGAAACTGTTGAAGTTAAGGGGTGTGATATCTCCCTGGATGAAGAAGCAGAATGGTGTAATCTTTTGGGACTCGAAGGAAATGATGAACTATTCTGTCCGAAGGGTCTGGGAAACCTTGAGGCACAAAGCTCCCAAAGTACCCTGGTACAATCTGGTCTGGGGCAGGAATTGCCCACCTCGTTGTAGTCTGATTGTCTGGTTGATAATTAAGAAAGCAATTATTACTAGGGATAAATTGCAGCGATGGGGCAAAGTCAGTGATGCTTCCTATCCACTATGCAGCTCCTCCATTGAAAGCAGAGACCACTTGTTTGTTCACTGCCCTTATTTGAAGAGTCTTGCTGAAGAGCTTAAGTGTACGAGGATGCTGCGAACAGACTGGGAACAGATGTTGTGTGCGATGACTCAGGTTGGTACCTCGAGAACAAGAGTGTGGCATGGTCTGATCTGGTGTCTGCTGGTGACATACATATGGAAGGAGAGGTGTGGTGTAACTCATGGATCCCAACGTCGTCCTCCAGCTCAGGTGGCGGACTTGATTCGTGACGATATGCAGTTTATAGCTTAAGGAAATAGAGGATACAGAGATATATTAGTAGAGCTAGGATACGTGTTGGAAGATTTACTCTTTTCCAGTTCTGGTAGTAGACTAGTTTGTTTGTTGTTGATTGTAGTAGGAGTTGTCGCTTTGATCGAGATTTATTCTCGCCTCGTTGTATCGGTTTACTTGGAATAAAAGCAACTGATTCAACGGAAAAAAAAATTCTACACAGTAATTTATTTTAAAATAAAATGAATTCTCGATTCATTTGGTACCAAATGATTTGTAAATGTTTGATTTTCTTCTCCCACATATTTTTGCTCTAGATTATACAAGTTTCCCTTGTCAATTGATGAAGGGGGCTACATTAGTGTAAATAACTTCTATGATTGTTCACTGAATGTTCAAGTTCAAGATTCATGACTAATTTCATGTTACTTAGTTGCAAGTTTTAAAGTTCAAGATTCATGACTAATTAGATGTTACTTAGTTGCAAATTTTACATGTTACTACTCATTAATTAGTGCATGGACTTTGCTATGTCTAGGAGAAATCGATTTATTGGTATCTCAGATGCTAAATAACGATCAAAATAAATCTCAATCCAACTTTTTTATATGGTATCAGTGTATACCAAATAATAAACAAAATAACTTCATATAAGAAAAAAATAATAAGATGGTTCAAATTGAACATAAAATATTGGAAATTTTCTATTTGTGTATATTAAATAGTGGAGTATTATGTACAATGGACTAAACTTATACTTCAATATTATTATATCACTAATAATTCTCTAAATTTCAATTTAGTTTCACAATAATCATTCATCAATACAACTAAACAATTCCATTATAAAAAAATACAACTAAACAACTCATTCTTCTAAAATATTTCATCATGCAATAATCAACTATTTGTCACAATTATATGTACAATGAACTAAACTTATACTTCAATATTATTGAATCACTCGTATTTATCTAAATATCAATTTAGTTTCACTATAATTATTCATCAATACAACTAAGCAATTAATTCTTTTATGATATTTCATCATGAGAGTAAACACAAGTCAATAAGAATTAGTAATTTCTTACAATCACATAGTTAATTATAAATTTTGGTTAATAAGGAACCATGGCTCTTATAGTCTTATATATTTGAGAGGGGGTGAAGGCTCAATGAGTTATGGGAAGATGTATTGTATCATGTTTAAATGTTTGGTATTGCTCTATATTTTTGTATATATCAATTCTAATCTCATATCTCGAATATCATCGATTACTATTAAAAAGTCAATCTCAGCCTCATATCTCCAATTTCACATGTCCATTCTCCAACTTGTCATGTATAGATGTAATTCTTTTTGTCACCAAACTTGGGATGAGTTCGTAGCTGTTGCCTGCGATTTCTCTTGCCAGCAATCTGATCTAGGAAGGCTTTGTGGGTTTCTCTAGTGTATTCACATACACTATATATGGATTGAAAGGTGCAGACGTGCTTATAAGTGCGGAAGTGTTAGGGTGCCTGCTATCGCGATACTTGATGGGGATTGGCTTCTTCAATGTACAAATACAAGTGAATTTTACTTAAAATTTTGGGATATCAAAATACTCATGACCACATACAATCACATTTTGAAATAATAGATACAATTTTTATTTATTAATGGATACTAAACTACTAAGAAGCTGACTAATCGTGACGTTACAGAATTCACACACATGGTAAATTATAAAGATACTTTTTCCTCTCGAGAAATGTTAAGATAAAACAATCTAAGACAAGAATCTGAGAATTCTTATAACAACGATGATTTCGAGGTCACTCAACCACATGTATGTTTTTATTTGTCCAATTCACTCTTCAGTTCCGAATACTTGCCTCTTAGGTCCTTCTCACTCATGTTGCCCTTCTCCTCCTCCTCCTCCTCCATTTGCTTCCCTTCTATAACTTCTCCCTCTTGATGACTCCTTGAAGATTTACATTGATGCCTCTATCTGCAACGACGATTGTTGCTCATCAGGCCTGGTTGTTTGTGACTCAAACGAGCATTTTAGTTTGAATCCAATGATTCTATATTAATTACAGCCACCGATTCTCTGGAGGTCCTCTTCCCTTGTGGATTCTTTAGTCTTTAGCGTGGTTACTCACACGACATTCTAGTCTACCCGTCTAGTGACACAACAAAGTCTTAATGATTTCTTTCATTTATGTTAGAGCCATTTGTAGCATAGTTATTGTAGGCTTTTATTTTTGAGGGTGTGAGGGATAAGGATGGAAAATCAGCACGATATCGATATTCCAAAATCACATATTGAAATTATGAATACCAAATAGCGCCCTAAATTCAATTCCAATACCAATTCGAAAATGAATTCGGTATCCAATCCCCTTCCCTAATATGTTGTTTGGGATCGGTATTGTTAGATAGCGATATAAGATCCAGCATA